GAGGCTCCAGCCTCAGCCCATGTGACAGCTTCACCTCTCTGCAATGCTTCTCCCTACTTGCCTATACTGTTCATCCCTATTTCTTCTCCCCCTGCTGTTTCTGCTCTCGGAGTGCTCATTTCCTTATTCCTAATCCTTCCCCAGATTTCAGCTCAAACCTCTCTTCACCAGGAAATTTCTGTGTCCTCTCGGCCCAAGTCAAGACCTCCTTCTCGCTCTCCATCTCCTCCCCTGCCCTCCCCGTAGGTGTGATCTGACCTCTGCTTCTGTGACTTGACCTTCACCTCTTCTCCTGTGCTGCACATGTCACAAGGTTAATAACGAGGTCTTGTTTAGCTTTCAGCTATACTCCCAGGGCCACGTGGTGCTCCAGCACACGGTGGACACTCAGTAAACGTGTGTGTGTGTGTGGGTGGGTGTGGGTGTGGGTGTGGGTGGGTGTGGATTTCCCCCACCAAGGTCCTAGGTATGCAAAAAAATCCTAGAAGCACAAAAGGAATTTGGACACAATATAGATATTCCAGGGCCAACCCCATCATTTATTATTTTTCCATTCAGAGGAAATGAAATCATAATTCAGTGGCATCTTCACAGCTTACTCCTGCCAGGCTACTTTTCTATAAATACAGTTCTCATTCTCTAAGAATCTGGATAAGACTGTGAGAGCTGGCCATCTGGGGGAGGCACCATCAGTTCTATCTGGGAGGCGATGCTACCATCTGCCTTTACGCCTGGGGTAGGTGTGGAGATGCACTTTGGACACTGCTGGTGCTTCCCATAAGCAGCTGGGTATGTCTGGCTAAGGGCTCCACAGCTCTGGGGAGATTGACAAGCACATAGGGACCATCTCCGGAGGACCTATAATTTTACATTCTATTACTGTTTTTCTCCTACTGCCAAGTGATACACGGAAGCTTCTAAGAACAATGCATAGTTGTGGGAGCTTCCACCACCATCCAGAGCTCAGCCTCTGGGTCTTAATGCTCACATGTAGGGGGCAGAGTGTGATGAATGGGATCCATGGATACAAGAGGTTATGATCAACTCTGGGCCATAAGCATTTCCAGCTTAAGGCCTTTTGAAGCCACCAGCTTGGAGCATGAAGATGTAGGCATAGCATGAGGCCTGGAGATCTGCCTTTGAAAATGTGTGTAGTCATCAGTGCCAACATGGAAGAGAATTTGAGGTCATAATTTTCAAATGTAGTTTTCTTATTGCTACACAATTTACAAATCCTATTTGCAGGTGTGCCTTTGAAGGTACTGTCGACACAGACACAGGTGGCCTGTGATGTTGGTTACATTAAAACTACAGCACAGCTAATTATGGCAAGTTATATATGTAACTCCACGAAAATAATAATAAGCCAAGTGTACATTGTGCTAATGTCCTTTGTATGGCCAAGAAAGCAAATAACTTTAAATACACACATATAACATAAATGTAACATGTGGACTTACTCTTTCAAACAGTGGGTATCACTGTACCTGTAAAAAGATACTGTGTACACTGACAAAGAATTTCTCATCAGCCAAATGTTTCTCAGGTTCTCCTGCAGTCCTTTTCTTAAGGCCTGATTTTGGCCTGTTAAGTTCCTCTCTGCCTCATCCAATTTTAGCAGGGATCCTGCTCAGTCAGCTCAACCAGAGTCCCCCATCCTCAATATTGGATCATCCTCAGTATCAAATCCAGTTCTTCATTTTCCACTGCCTCTGGCTGATGGCTGATCACTGTCTGCCATCAGAATCCCCCATACTCCTGGGGTTTGCTCTTGGCCATTTTTTTTTACCTGCTCTTTGGTTATAATTCCCGCCTGCCCATGCTGTCTTTAAGTCAAACCCAATCTCTCTCCCCTACAGCAAGACCCCAGTGCAGTGGTCCCAGCACCTCTTGCAATGGCCCTGAATCAAGTCCATCCAAGATCTTCAGCAAGTGTCACTGAATATCTGCTTTTCTTTATATACAAGACAAATGCACGCCCACCAGCTGAAATTGACCAACTAATTAACATTCCCGTAGTCAATGCCCTTTTATATTTTATTACACACACAAGTAAGTCTGCACTTTGAAACATTTGAACATACAAAAGGGGACTTCAACAAGTCAGGGAAAAATAGAATGAAAAGCATGAGCTAATTTTGGTGCAAAAATATATAGAAGTACATATTATAAAAAATTTGCCAGGGTAAATATTCACTTTTGAAAAAAGCTAGAATACTTTCAGTCATGTACTCATCTATCACGGTATAGTTTCTGCCTTGATAATTCAGGAGCTGAATGTTTCTTTTTCTTTTAAGAAAAACCTACATATAAATATCACATTCAGCTGCCGAACTAATCAGTTTGGCCATGGCGATCGCAAGAACTGGCTAAGAATAGTTAATGATATGAATGATTTACAGTTAGCGACTTTGCTTGTCACATATTTGAGTCTTTTCTCCCAAAAGAGCTTTAGAAGAAAAATGTTCAGGTTTTTAATGATTCATGAGCAATTTGCTACCACTGTTATTTGCTCCTATTGCTGGACAAGTTTTCCAATGTCTTGAAGAAGCCAACATCGTCACTCATGTGAGAAGGATGAGGGCCTTGCCTGTGGCATTGCCAAGTGCACTGAACACAGCCCCTGATGTGCCAGAAGGAAATGCATCTACCACTCCACCATTCAGGGACTCATGCTGACAAAAGGCGATTATTTAAATGTGTATATATTATTACAAAGCATCTTGCAGAGTTAGGAAAGGATTTTGAGATTTCTCTGGTACTATTTTTTTCAACACTTCAGTGTTTTTTCACTCCCATTTTCTTTCTATATTTCATTTAGATTTCCTTTCCCTTATTATTATTTTTTAAAAAGTTATTTATTTGAACAGTGAAAGAGAGAGAGAGAGATCTTCAATTCCCTGGTTTACTCTTCCAATGGCTACAACAGCCAGGGCTAGGCTAGGCCAAAACCAGGAGCCAGGAACTCCATCTGAGTCGCCCAAGTGGGTGGCAGGGGCCCAAGTATTTAAGCCATAAACTGCTACTTCCCAGGCACATTAGCAGGGAGCAGTATTGGGAATGAGGTAGCCAGGCTCAAACCAGCACTCTGATATGGGATGTGGACATCACAAGTGGTGGCTTAACTCACTGTACCATAGTGCCTACCATTAATTTTTATTTTAAGTTTTGATACTTAATAATTACACACAATTTTGGGGTAAAGTGTGATAATTTGATACACGCATAAAATGAGTAATGATCAAATCAAATCTATGAGTATTTCCATCTTCTTAAATGTTTATTTAAAAAATTTTTTTATTCATTTGAAAATAGTTACAGAGACAGGCAGAGACAGAGCGATCTTCTATCTGCTGATTCACTCCCTAGATGGCCACAATGGCCAGGGCTGGGCCAGGTAGAAACCAGCTTTATCTGGGTCTCCCACACAGGTGGCAGGGGCCAAAACACTCGGGCCATCCTCCACTGCTTTCCCAGGTCATTAGCAGGGAGTCGGATGTGAAGTTTGAGCAGCTGGGATGTGAACCAACGCCCACCTGAATGGTGGCAGCCTTACCTGCTATGCCACAACACCAGCCCCTATCATTTCTTTGCATTGGGAACCACTGAGCTCCCTTTCTCTAGTCCTTTACAAAACATATAGCAAACTGTAAGCAGCAGTCACCCTCCTGTGCCGTAGCACACTAGAACTTGCGCTCTCTAACTGTATTTTTATTCCTGTTACCAATGACCTAAGTGCTCTTCTCTCTCTCACTCCATAGGGGACATCCATTTGGAGTTTTGCTCACTTGTCGATCACTCAGTGGTTTTTAGGAATGTCTGAAGGACCTGTGAGTTTTGTTACAACTTCAGGGGTCTGCACATGACTGAGAGTGTGGAGAACTCAATATGAATGCAGGGATTTGGTCAGAGGGGTGATGATTGAGAGTCGTGAAATTCTGAGGTTCATTCATTTCTAACCCAAGGGTAAAAGCAAAACCCTTTGTGTCTTTTCCTATATATCTCCCTCTGCATACCCTTATGTACGTAAAAATATCCATTTAAGGAGAAGTTATTTGCTTGGCAGTTAAGATGCCCACATTCCTACATCAGAGTCCCTGGGTTCGATTCCCAGCTCCTGACTCCAACTTTTCCTGCTAATACAGACGCTGGGAAGAAGTGTTGATGGCTCAAGTAATTGAGTCCCTGCCACTCACATGGGAGACCTAGTCCAGCCCTGGCCTGGTCCTGGCCATTGTGGGCATTTGAAGAATGAAACACTGAATGGGAGTTCTCTGTATCGCAAATCAATAATTTTTTAAAAAATCTACCTAGGGTGCCAGATCAATTCTCCACAAACATTAAGTGACGTAAGGTACTGTTCTTACTCCGAGTTTGTAAGTGAGACAATTGAGGTTAAATCCGTTGAGCAAAGTCATATCACTAACAAGTGTCAGGGCTGGGATCTGAACCCAGGCAGGCTACCCCCAGGATCTGGGCTTTAACCTCTCAGCTGTTCTGCCTTTCCTCCACTGTTCTTTGCTTTCCACTGAGCTACAAATCTTTGTCACTCATTATTCTTTGTTTTCCTGCCATGTTCAAGAGTCATTAATTCAAGATCTCTCCTCTGTGAAATCACCTTTCCTTATCCGCCAATGGGCATAGACAACGTCTGTTCTGCTGTGTGTTGACATTTACTGGAACAATGAGAACAGGGATGGATAATAAAACCCGGAGTGTCAATGGTAGGATGAAAGCATTCAAGTGCAGAAAAAAGGGGGGTTTTATGTTCAGATTAATTACAGATCAAAAAGAAGTGGTTGTTCTGCTACTGAAAAAACCACAACAAAATCCTTGACATACAAGAAAACACAGAGCTTGTCAATGCCACTATCAGTCACATTGAAGAATTATATAGACCAAATAAACCCCAAGACTTGCATTGAACTGCACTAATTAAGAAACAGCACCAGATTCAACAAATAACTAACAAGAAATAAAGGGGGCAAAAATCACCTTACCTGCTGACGTGTGTTTGAATTTTTCGCTTTTCTTCTTCCTCCATTTCCAAGGCTTGAAAATCCTTCCCAGGTTGGCAAACTTACTTCTCCTCCGGATGGGCGGGGTGTGGGTGCCCGGGACCAGGGAGTCAGAACGCATGGCCGCCAGCCTCTCCACTTCCTCAGCTTGTTTTCCCAAGAAAGAGATGAAATAGAGAGAGGGAGGGAAAAAGTGTTCAAATGGGAGCTCACAGATGGCCAACGTTTTCCATGGTTACAGATAACAGAGAGCATGTGACCAGAGTTCTGCTTCTCTTTTTGCCTTTTGGAATGGAAGTCATACCAGTGCGTTCTCAAGGCTGCGGACCGTCAGCCAAACCTTACAGATTCTGATGCCTAGAAGTCTGTCCAGCCTTCACTTGGACTTGAGTGGGAGGACAGCACTCCCAACATGCCAGGGACTCCCCCCAGATGCAGGGAGAGTTGGTCCAGGGGTCCAGTATGTCTCAGCAGGTGCAACCACTGTAGCACTGCCTGCTGAGACCACAGGAGGGGGGAAACATTTACCAACTGTCTACCCTGGAGTCAATGTCTCGCCACCCAATGCTCTTTACTTCCTACTACCTTGCTTTATCCAGACCCATGGGAGCACTGAACCCTGCTGAGTGAGTACGGCCCCTACCTTAGGGTCAATGACCAATTCAGAGTCACTCACTCTTGCACTGAATCTTACAAGTCCCTTAATTTCTCCAGGTCTTTTTTTTTTTTTTTTTTTTTTTTTTTGCCTAGTGCTGTTTTAAAAAAAATAATCATAGAAATTGAGAGCTGGGAGTGTCTTTAGGGAACACTTAGAATAATCCCAATAACTGAATGTCTGCGCATAATACTTTCAATCCCATCACGGCTCACGGACCATACGGGTCACAGACACCCCAACCCCATTCTACCTCCGTGAAATAAAACAAATACTTGTCCCGGTCACAGGAGTTTTCATATATACCTCAATTTGCTTTTTTTAAGATAGGAATATTCAGAGAAAATAACCTCCCTGGCAAAATCGAGGGGAGGGGAGGAACTCAACTTTCCAGAAAATGAAATCATATGGAGAGCTGGGGCAAACGCAGACACGCTGTGCTTCACTTCAAACACTGTCCTTCAGAAAGTCATCTGGGCTTTTGCAACATTCACAGACCTTGAAAGCACAAGGATGCAGCCCGATGATCCGCCTGTTGTGGTCTGCAAATGCTTTGAGCCCTGGAGAGCTCCTCGTTCAATAAAGACACACGAAACTGCGATTATGAACCAGGCAGTGCACTGGGGCGGTCATGCTGGCACCAGATGATGGGGATGGACCCGGGAGACGTGTTAGAAGTGGTCCATGAATAGGTCTTAGCGACTGCCTGGATGGCATAGCGGATAGGACACAGATCATTTCCCAGTTCTCAGCTTCCCATCAGGGAGAGCACCCTTCATTCAGTAAGACTAGAAAGACAGGGAAAGACTCAGCTTTGAGAGTTAGGGCAGCAATGACTTGAACGTGTTCCAATAAAAATGGCCCTTACAATTTTGATTACAGAAGCTCCTCCACTTACGATGGTGTTGCAGCCCGATGAACCCGTCTTACATGTTAAAGATCATAAATACAAAAATGCATTGAATGCATCTGGCCTCCCATGTACCCTAGCTCAGCAACACAGCACACTATTGAGTACTGGGGGTTTCCTGTTGTGGTCAGGGGGCTGTGCTTGCTGGCACCACCTGGAATCACTGGAGAGGATTGCATAGCACAGTGCTAGCCCAGAAGATCGAAGTTCAACATTCCAACTGCAGGTTCTACCAAATGCACCTCTTTTCCAAGCACCCTGAAGTTGAGAAATCATTAAGTCAAAGTATCCTAAGTCCAGGATTGTCTGGATGTGGCTCAGTGCACTGGCAGCTCCCCTTTGAGTCACTTAAATAAGGGACCACACGATGCCATCCAGAGTGGTTTCTGGGGAAGACACACAGAAGAGCTGGGCACGATGCTGAGCACAGAGTCCTGGGGTGGGGACGGAGGGGATGCAGACAGGGGGCAGCATGCAGACACACTCCCCAACAGGTGCCACGATGCTAGATTCAGGGTAGGCAAAAAGGAGAGAGACTGATTTGGCTTCACAGGGATGGGAAAGGCCTTGGGAGGTCGTTTTGGGCTGAATTTTGAAAGAGGAGGAACTGCTCTCTCCACATGATGTAAAGGGAGAAATGGATCCCTCGGTGGAGAAATAGACCTAAAAGGAACAGAGAGGATCTGCAGAGCAGGTACGCCTGGGGGCTTCAAGGAACCTGGTGAAGTGAGCGGAGTGAAGTGAAGCAGAGGGCTGGTGGCTGCAGAAGACTAGAGCGCGTTCGAGTGAGCTTTTGCAAGGTTGTATTAGGCATTTTTGTTTTATCCTGTAAGTCAAAGGGAAAGGATGGGAATTGGAAAATGGGTAATTGACATTACCATATCCAACAAATACATGTGGTGTGCTCCTGGTGTACCAGACACTCAGGCTACATCAGTAAACAAAACAGATAAAAATACCAACTCATGGAGCTCACACTGGGAGTGGGGTGTGGGGCAGACAGTCAACATGAAACTAAGCAAATTATAGATTATGCTAGAAGATACTTGCTTCAGGAAAAAAAAAATGAAAGGATCAAGTGGGATCCAGTAAATGAGATCAAGAGTGTCTGGGAGGAGGATCAGGCTGATTGAGAAGGCACGTGATCAGAACGCAGCTAGATTTGCTTCTTGGGCCGGCGCCGCGGCTCACTAGGCTAATCCTCCGCCTTGCGGCGCCGGCACACCGGGTTCTAGTCCCGGTTGGAGCACCAGATTCTGTCCTGGTTGCCCCTCTTCCAGGCCAGCTCTCTGCTGTGGCCAGGGAGTGCAGTGGAGGATAGCCCAAGTGCTTGGGCCCTGCACCCCATGGGAGACCAGGAGAAGCACCTGGCTCCTGCCATCGGATCAGCACGGTGCGCTGGCCGCAGCGCGCCGGCTGCGGCGGCCATTGGAGGGTGAACCAACGGCAAAAGGAAGACCTTTCTCTCTGTCTCTCTCTCTGTCTACTCTGCCTCTCCAAAAAAAGGAAAAAAATTAGATTTGCTTTTTAGGAATATCACTGTAGCAGCAAAGGGACCCAAAAGAAGCAGGTGACAAAGAAGGCAACAAGGAGACCACTGCAATTATTGTAACTGGGATCCAAGTTGGGCAGGGAGAAAAGGTGAGACTCAGCCAGATGTAGCAACTTCCTGGATAAACATTAAGAAGTACCAGATGCAAGAATGTCAAAGTTGTTGGCTTTTGATCCCAGGTCAACGGGAAGATTTCATGTCTTAAAGAACTTTGATGATAAGAGGAAGAAGCAGGTTAAGACAGTAGCATGGGAGTTCAAGGAAGAGGACTATGGAGCCAGATAATTCAATCTGTCTACAAAGGCCCTTTAGTGGGTTGGCTTTGATGTCCTAAGGGCATGGAGAACTACTAAGAGGAAAGCTGCCGGGATGGGGCAGCAGAAAATCAATCTGGTCAGTGGAATGAGATGCAAAAGTCAGCAGAGAGGAAGAGACTGAGGATGTGTGAACAAGGCTGAGAAGTTTACGGAACGGTTTTTAGGGAGAGGAAGAGAAAGTAGGAACAAAAGTACACTGCAGATTACTGGCCACTGACAGACGTTACCATGAGTGGTTCAAAGTTTAAACTGAGGTCTCTGCTCAACAAATGCAGAGATCAGATGTGGGTTTTGGGGAGATCAAAGGAAGGAAGAAGATCATGATCCTGAGACTTCTAAGCAAGTTTGGGATGCAGACTGGTTGAGGAAAGTGTTAAATAAAAATTCTACAAGAAATGAGAAGAAAGCCAAACTAAGCATTAAGCAGGCTTTGAAGCAACACTGAATTTGGACATGATGCTTCTTCCATGTCATCAGCCACCTGCCTTGCTGCTCCTTCAGCCATGTTTAGAGAGCCACGTAGTAGAGAGCATTGTGGGAAACTGAAGCAGGAAGTCCAGTGTGAAAGCTCAGTCTACACACTCGGATGGTCTGACTCCCACAAGGTCACTGCCTTGCCTTACCTGACACTCTCAGTGTTGCCAGTCCAGATTTTACAAGTCTTCAGATTCATACAGCCATCTCTTGGTATTTGTGCAGAATTGGTTCTAGGACACCCATGGAGACCAGAATCTGCAGACGCTCAAGTTTCCTTCATCAAATTGTGACGAATGTGCACATAACTTGCAGTCCTCCCCATCAGCTCATCTCTAGGTGGCTTATAAGACCTAATACCATGTGAATGCTATGCAAACAGTTGTACTGTTAACAACTGTCTCATAAGGGGGAAGCCATCTGTATGTGTTGCACACAGACACCACTTTCTTTCTGAGATATTTTTTGATCAGCAGTGGCTGAATCCATGGATGTGGAACTCATGGATATGGAAAGCCGACTGTACCCCCGACTGCAGACACCCACCTTCAATCCTGCAGCTTCTACTGTAATAATTACTCTTTCAGAAGTCTGCTCTTCTGAGAAACTGTCCATGGTTTCTCATAGCTTACAGGTGAAATTTCTAATTTCCCAGCTGTCAGGAACCTTGATGTGAGTGAGCAGCTCAGACTTAATCTAAGCTGGGGGTGCTTCTCTAGACGTGTACTGCAGTCAAATGCAATACTCCATGTTGCACCAGGCTCCTCTGGGGATTTCTGGCTACAGAGTGGCCATCAGCCCGCTGAAATCATCGAATGCCAAGTTTTGTATATGCAGATGTTCCTTGGCTTGTGATGGGATTACATCCCAATGAATGCATCAGGCCTTGAAGATGTCCTAAGTGGAAACCTCACAGAACGCACCTGGCCTCCTGTACATCCCGGCTCAGCCGCACAGCACATTGCAGAGTGGCAGCATCTCCCTTTGCAACCACGGGCGTAAGTGCTCATTGCTGCTGCCAAGCATCGCCAGAGAGGAACTGGACTGCACAGCGCTAGCCCAGAGAAATCAAATTCAACACTCCAAGTGTGGTTCGTCCAGAACACATGTCATTTTTGCACCATTACAAAGTCAAAAAACCCTAAGTCAGTCCAACCCTCATACGTCATCTGTACAAGGCTATCTGTGTTTGGTTGATAGAGTGTCCATCTTCCCTTGATTTTCCAGCCAGGCTAAGAT